CTGACTCTTTAAAAATAGAAACTTTGTCTACAACAATTACAGCCTACCATGACTGCTTTAAGTAATTTTCTTGTACTTTGGAACCAGAACCCTCTTGTAACTAACAATAGCCTAACTGTTACCAGAAATTCTATTGTTGTACATAACAGAACAGACATCATTACGTCACTACAATTTCTACAAGAAACAGAACCAGAGTTACCTACTCAACATTTGGATAATATTGATATATTAGATAATTATTTTCCAAATCTAGACTTTGATGATATTATTTTTTCTATCGAACCTATAGAAGAAGAATCAGCTAACTATCTTATTCAACAAGATACAGAAACTTCGCCAACTCAAGAAACAGAAAATAAAACCTCACTCAACTTATTGAAGATTTTACAAAAGAGAAAAATAAAGTTTTTATATAATGAAACCCTTTGACAGAAGTAACTCTTAAAGAAAAACTTTGAGAAATTATTAAATGTTTAAAAAAAAAGAGCTGTGAAAAGTCATATAATCAACAAATTCGAATTCTAGAAACTTTTTATTATCTAGAATAGCTAAAGAAAGAAGCTGATAATAATAACCAGAAAATCCAGAAAATTAGGGAAAACCTTAGTAAAGCTCTAGGATCACGACATGCTGCCAGAGCATGAAATGTGCTGACCGAATTTACCAACTCCTCCAAGTTTGTGGACTACCTTACCTCTATTCTACTACTACGATTACCTATACTAACTTGGAAAGATTAAAGGAAGAAGACTTTATGATACTATTAAGTGAAGTTAGAATTCATAGAGTTCATTCTTAAAGAGGATGGAAATATTATAGAATGAGTTTTCTAAATTTCTTATTATTAGTATTATTTAGTATTATTATTAGTATTATTATTATATTTTATTGTTGTATTATTATATCATCGTGTAATATTATTAAGTAGTTTTGCATAATGTAATGAATGGAAAGAATGGTTACTATTTCTACTATTTCTACTATTTCTACTATTTCTACTATTTCTACTATTTCTACTATTTTTACTATTTCTACTATTTCTACCATTTCTACTATTTCTACCATTTTTACTATTTCTACTATTTTTACTATTTCTACTATTCTACTATTTCTACCATTTCTACCATTTCTATCATTTCTACTATTTCTTATTATTTATATTAGTTTTATTAGTTTAAAAAAAAGATATATAAATCTTGGCTTTTCCCCTTCCTGCCAAATAAGACTTAGACATACTCTCTAGATCCAGACACCTTATAGTATAGAAAAATTATATCTTGTAATTAAAGTCTTATATCGTAAATAAAATATATCTTTCTTTAAACTATATACTTTCCATGAACTGCCTTTAGTGAAGTTATATTCTACTTCCACACTGCTATAATCTTGCAACAGAGCTCTATAGCTATGTGCTTTGTTACTTGTATTAAGAAGGTTACAGTCCACTTGTAACAATAGTATTAGTAATATCATCAGCTTAGGAAGAATAATTAGGGTTTTTAATATAAAAGTCAAAATCTTTAGAAAAAGATCTATAGGTAAGTAAGGAGCAAATTGATATCTAATATAATTAGCTAAGAGAGCAGCTGCTATTTGTTGAGAGTTGTCAAATAAAGTTCTATATCAATAATTAAAAATAATATCTCTAATCAAAACTTAGACTATACTATAGTTAGAATCATGAGCTATAATTGTTTTCTAAGTATAAAAGGTTGTAACAAATGCTCATAGATACTATATCTAAAAATTATAAAATGTATAATGATATTAAGTAGTAGAATAATAATATCAACAAGAATTATTAGAAGCAAATACTTGGAGAATATTATTAGCAAGACTATTATCTTAATATGCTAGTTCGTGTCTTTGTATATATTCTAAATGTAATTATTAAGCTTAATGCATATAATGCTATAAGCAATCTCTTAGTTGTAATATTTAAAAGTAGTTTGATTTTTGTTGTATTTAAAAGTCTAATCCTGGGTAAAATTACTTACACCTATACTTTGGCTTATAGATAATTTGTGCTTAATTTTTGATTAAGATTTACAATAAGCTACTAGCTATAGGTCTTTATATTTATGCTTTGGCTTGTAGAATACCTGTTCTAATATCTTATTTAGAGGTCACAGTAAGCTGCTAGCTTCAATGGTTGCTACAAAAGTAGAGATTTCAAGTGTGCTCTTCTGAGCAAATCTTTTTCAATTTGTCAGAACTTTTAAAAGAAATTATTATTTTTTCTAGTAATAGCAAGAGAAGAAAAAGTTATAAATAAATATTCTTTTAAGGGTTGATTTAGCAAGAGATTCTTTTCAAGAGAGTAGGTAGGTTTCTTTTAGAGAGCAAGAATTTTTAATTCCAAAAAGCAAATTTCCTTTATAAATTAACAAAATTTTTTTTTTGCAAAAAAATTTTTTCTATTTTGCTAAAAAACACTAAATTGTTATAAGTAAACTATAGTCTTCTTAATACAGTACAAGTAACAAATACATAGCTATAGTGATCTGTTGCAATAATGTAGTAGTATAAAAGTGGAATATAATTTCATTAGGCTATAGAAAGTATATAGTTAAAGAAAGATATATTTTATATATAATATAAGAATTTAATTATGAAAAAAAATATTCCTATATATAACTAAAGGGTGTCTGTATCTAGAGAGAATATCTGAGTCTTTTCTGGCAAGAAGAAGAAAACCAGAGTTTATATATCTTTTTTTTATACTAATAAAACTAATAAAAATAATAAAAAAGTAGAAACAGTAGAAATTGTAAAAATAGTAAAAATAGTAGAAATGGTAAAAAGGTTAAAATAATAAGAATAGTAGAAATAGTAACTATTCTCTCAGTTTCTAATACTATACAAAACTACTTAATAATATTATATGATAATATAATAATACAATAATAGAATAGAATATTATATAATAATACTAATAATAATACTAATAATACTAATAATTAATAAATTTTTTTTTTTAATATTAAAGTAATCTCATGGTCAGTTGCCTTTATTAGTTTATGTGCTAAGCTAATCGAAGTCAGCCACTACTCATTTGGTATATGGTTTTAGAGAATACAACTAGCCACATGTACAATTTTTAATTGCTTATTTAAGTAGTTTATCCAAAAATTATATACTAGATGCTATACCTATAATTCAACTAGGAGATTATCTATTTAAACTCTTTGCGTCGTCATATCCTTATGAGAAACCAATATCTACCATAGGAAGTGCCTAACTTAGGGCTAATTTACCCTCGAGATAAACTTGCTAGAACTTTTTATACTCACAATTTGGCTAACCTAGACTTCAGTAACTTATGCCAAGTCCGAAGACAGCAACTTGCGAGCTGAAGCCACTACCATTACCTACTTCTGTACTTGCAAAGTTCACCCAGACCCCAGTATATACTTTATAGACTATCACTAGTTTTAATCCTAACAATCTTAAACTACCAATCCAGATAGCCCAGAAGGGCTATGACCTGCTCTGGTCCCTACGATTAGGTCCTTTTTCTCTGATTACTCCTCTGACAGCCTGGTTGGTAGAGTACCTTGTCAAATACTTCAATCCTGTTCGGTTTTGCCAGTTCTTCTAATAATGATCTTTTAGTAATATCATCAAAGATCTGTACTACCTTTCTACTCAGGTCTTGCCAAGCGAGCATCTATCATCCTTCCTGATTTTCTGGGTTTACTACGATCTAAAAGCTTATTCGTATAATTTATATATTGTACAAATGCCCTATAGTCTCCCAATCTTTATTAGTGCTATCAAGATTACAGAAATATTTCAACCAATCAATAGAATGACAGTAGCCGTCATACAAATAGAATTTTCAAAATTTATCACCAGAGGGTTTTGAACCCCCTATCTAGCCAACATATTGCTTGGGGGTGTGACAACTTAACCACTTTACTAAGTCGCCACACCCTTGATAATTAATAAATTTAGAAAACTTATTTTATAATAGTAATTAATAAAATAATTATATAAATCTTGTATATTTTATAACTCCTTGCATATTTTATACACCTTGTATAAATATGTATAAATATGTATAATTATGCATATTTATGCATAATCATGTATATTTAAATATAATTATGCAAGAGATGTATAAAAATATACAAGGAGTTATAAAATATGCAAGATTTATATAATTATTTTATTAATTACTTTAATTTTGTAATTGTCAAATGACTAACTCTAAGATCTTTGAAAATAGGCAATTAACAACCTCAAAAAGGTTATATTTACATAAGTGAAAGCTCTTATAATTTTTATTACTTTTATTTTAAATATATATTTACTTTATATTGTTTTTTTGCATCAATATTGTTTAAAAATAAATCAAGAAATCAAAGATATACTAATTCTGTAATTTGAATATCAGTAATTATAAAACACACCTATGGTGTTAAATACTATATATATTGTTTTGATTTACAGATTTGTGTAACAAAACAAAAAACAAATTTTTCTAAAAACAAAAAATAAAATTTGATTATTTTAGTTAGATTAAGGCCTGGAATTTTATTTGAGCATTAGTATATACAAAATTTAGCAAGAAATTTTTTTTATTAAAACCCCAAAGGTAATTTTTTAAGCAAAATTTTGAGATATTTACATTTTTTTAAAAAAATAACCAAAAAAGCAAAATTTTACATTACACCTGATCTTAAATTTTGATTGGCTATTCTAATAAATTTGTGCAACATGGTGTTTAACACCATAGGTGTGTTTTAGTAAATCTGTTTGAATATTATCTATAAATTGGTTATATCTGAAAAATATTATTTACAAATATTTGTTTACTTTATATATAATAAATAAAGTGATCATTAGATATTTACATGCTATAAAAATTTATTTAAGCCATAGTATACAAAATAATTAATAAAATTAAAATTTTCAATAAATATTTGATACTTTGACTAATAGATAATTTTAAAAGATAATAAAAATATACTATAGAAATAGTAAAAAGATAATTAATATATATCAGTAGGATCCCAACAGAATTTTGTTTGTGATTTTCCAAGTGAATCCAAAGCTTCCATATCCTATTACAATGTAAAATTAACAATGCTTTTCTTTAAAAAACAATTATAATTATAAATACAAAAAGACAAACCTCATTTGATAATTCAAAGTTAAAAATATTTATATTTTCTTTAATTCTTTTCGCATTAGTAGATTTAGGTATAACAATAAACCCATGTTGATGTCCCCATCTCAACAGAAGCTGTGCTACACTAACCCTATTTTTCGTTGCAATGTCCTTGATCACTGGTATTTCAACTTCTCCATTAACTAATTTACCTTCTCCTAAACTTGAATACGCCTGAACTAAAATATTATGTTTTCGACATAAATCAATTAATTCTTTTTGATAATATAATGGATGTAATTCAACTTGTAAAACTGCTGGAATAATGGTACAATGGGATAATAAATCAGTTAAATGACGATGAGTGTAATTGCTCACTCCAATGGCTCGAATTTTTCCAGAATTATAAAGATCTTCAAGAGCTTTGTAACTAGCTTTACGATTTATGGCGTTTTGTGGATCCGAAGGTTTTAGTTTTTGAGTTCTTTACAAAATAATATATTTGATTAATGAAAAAAATTTCAAATATGTAATCAACTCTGAATATAATAACATAATGGAATCTAAATTTATTATGCGTTTAACAATTAGGATCAACAATTTAAGATCTTTAATTAGTTATATACAGAGTTGACTATAAGACTTTAGATAAAAACATTTGAAAAAATTTACCCAGGCCAATGAATTAAAAACAAATCTAGGTAATCCATGTTAAATCGTTGTAAAGATGATATTAATGCTAAAAATCAAATCAAATATTAATATACATTAACATACGCTAATTATATTAAACACTTATTATAAAAAATACCTTGATAACAATTATCATATCCTTGATCTTTTGGAGCTAATTAAACAAATCAGACCAATCAGACAAATTGAAACAGTAAACTTAATTCATCACAAAAGAATATACTAACGAAGTTTGCTTGTAATAAAGAAATCTTTTCGTTTTAAATTCAATGAAGTATTTTTGATTAATTCATTAACAACTTTTCCTATAGTTTCTTCATTCTTGTACCCAATTGCTGAGTCTACATAAATAAAACCAGTAAAACTTGTAATGAATTAAAATTATGATTTAATGGAAGAATATATATATATATATATATATATATATTTAATACCAATTAGCCTGTAACCTGATGACACAGCATTTTTTACGACGAATTCCACTGTTTCGGGATCTACTATACGATATGTACCCACTTTGGATAAATAGAAAAGAAAAAGAATTTAGCAAATTATCAAAAAAAAATACAATGATTTATTTTAATGATAACATTACAGCCTAGAGCAGGAATCGTAATTCCATTATTAAGAACAAATTTTGGAATTGAATTCATTTTGTTTTTTTTTTGATCGATATTTAAAGTATTATGGTACACCTAAGAGCGCTAATAGTAAAAGTCATAAAAAGTATATCTATTCCTAAAATTTATTAAATAAGCTAATATTCGACTTAATTCCAGAATTTCTAAAAATATTTGAAAACTTGTTTTTTTGGTGGGGAGATGGAACACTGCAAATCGAAATTCATATACCATAATACCTTAGATGTTAGATATCGATATGTATAATCACGTGTAGATAAAAATTTTTTTGAGATCAGATATTGAAAAAAAATCTGACGTTAAACGTTGACGTTGTATGAAGCGCGTATAATTATAAAATGCATTGCTTAAATTTACGAACAAAAGTACAAATACTCAACCGGATTTTTGAAACAGAACCTAAAACCATAACTACTATTATTACGAAAACAAAAAAACCTTTTAGAAATTGTTTTCAACCTTCACATACTTTTTCGCGAAATATTTTTGATATTTCATTACCAAATAAGAATGAGTTTATCCAAGCTTTACGAAAACAGACGATTGATACTGAACTTTCTGGTACGATTAGAAAAGATAAAGAGAACAAAGAGAATAAAGAAAAAATAAAAAGAGATACTGAAGCTGCGAAAGTAAGGTTTGTTTTGATTTGTTTAAAATAAATCACAATATACTATATATACATATATATATATATTTAAATTACGTTTCATTTATTAATATATACATATATTTTTTTTTATTAATTGATTTTATTTTCTTAGGCATTTAATAAAATTAACGAGACAGAATTTTCTCGAATCGATGAATCACAAGCACTGGAATTCTACAAAAATATCAACAATTCATATTGTTTCAAACGATTTTATTTAAATTTAATCTCTTATTTGTTACGTCAATGTGCAAATAATGATAGATTAGATTTAGTGGATATTATATTTACACAATTTATTAAAGATATTGAAAATAATCCAAATAAACATTTATTGGGAACTTTCATTATCAATGTTTGGAATACCTTTGCTTCAATTTATTATGAAAGAGGATCATCTGAGAAAATTGAAATTAGTAAGTTAAATCTTGATAATTTTTTAATTTAATTATTCAATATATAAACTACTTTACATATTACAATTTATACTCACATATACATACATACATATATATATATATCTATATATATATTGATAGTGTTCAAGTCAATGTCCAAATATACCGTTTCACCTAACGCGAAAACATTTTCAATAATGATCAAATCAATAGCAAAATCTAAAAACCCTAATCATTGCTTTATCTTTATTGAAAAAAGCATTGTTAAAGGTTTAAAACTTAAATCTGGAACTTTAAATATATTACTTAGTTCATGTCTTACATCACGACAAAACCTTAATCAACAACAAAAAAGTATCAATATTATTCTTGATTTGATGTCTGATTGGAATGTAGGACCTAATGGAAAAACTTTTGAAATTTTATTAAGACATTGTAGAGATTTTGATCATTTAGAAAGAATTTGGTCAAAAATTGTGAATCTTGGATTTCATCATGATCAGACTTTACACGTAGAAATTATAAAAACCTGTTTAAGACTTAAATCAAGAAAAGAAGGATTATCAAAATGTTTTGATTACTTGTTACGACTTAATCGTATTTCTCAAGGTGAACTTGCAACTGGTGCATACAACATTTTTTTGAAAGCATGTGCTTATCATAGAGATTTTATTAGAGGAATGAGAGTGATAGAAATGATGTGGTTAAGAAATTTAGAACCTCAAATAATAGGTTATAATAATTTACTTAACACAATTAGAATAATTACTTTTCAAAATATGTCATCATGGAGTTTAGCACAACGATCAATCATCAACAATATTTATCGAGAATATTTATGGATATTATTGGAAGGAATGCTTTCACGACCAAAAACTAGAACAATGCCAAGACAATTAATAAATTCAATAATTTTAGCTCTTGGAAAATTTGGTGATATAAGAGGATTAATAGAATTTTATGATGCTAAAATTAATTTGGAAACATCAAATAATAGATTAACTTCGGTAGATCAAAATATTGGAAATATTTTAGCACAAAGAACTGATCATGTACCATTAGATATTACATTTTTTAATTTATTTTTAAAAGAAATTTCATCTTCGAATCCAATGACAACTTTAGAGATGTTTAATAGATTACCAAATTATCTTGAACCAAATAATGATACTATAGAATATTTATTTTCTTCTATACAAACTTCTTTAGATTTTAAAAATTTTGGTATACAATTTTGTGATGCTTTAATTCGACAAAGAGCAAATGTCGCTTCAGAATCAATGAAGACTATATTTCAGAGAATGTATCAACGAATTACTGGATGTAATGGAAAATCTACAATGGAGGTTGATGTTAATGAATTTTATTGGGTTTACGTTTCCGGGTACATAGCACGTGAAATTATAAGTGTTTATAACGATCAAGATTTGATAGAATGTTTAAAAATGCTTGAAATAAAGTCAGAAAATTCATGTTAACTATTCGTTTTAATTAAAAACGTTTATTAAAAGAACTTTTTGATCATGTACATTATAAACGACTCACGATGACTTACAATATTATTATATAACATTATTAAAATTGTTAATATCGTAGCATTGTTAGCATGTGTTAATGCATATAATATGGTACACAGCTCGCTTATCATTTAACTTTTCTTTCTTTCTTTCGAATTTTATCCATTTTATCTATATAGTTTATTTAGCATTTAAACTAAACTTGGATCTATCGCCCAAATCCAAACCAAAATAGATGAATTGGAATGCATAAATAATGGGTGGTATCATTTCTTTATTAGTTAATTAAATCGGTTTAAATGAGAAACATTATTCATTATATAAATTTATGTAAAATTTGTTCGATTTCATATTGTAAGAGTTTTATGATGACGTTGATGCTTGTTGCGTTATAGAATTCTGAACCGGATGTAAAATTGTCACCCGGATCATCCGTATAATCTGAAATCGGGTGAACCGGTTG